AGTTTTTATAAAAGAGGATTGTTGTCCAATTTTGGCCATTTTAAGTTGGGGGGTCTTCAACCCCCAGATTCCCCCGGCCAGAATGGGGGGCTGGGGAATTCTGGAAGTTGAAGTCCACTCATCTTAAAGTGGCCAACTTTGGACAACACTGCTCTATGATAAAGACTCCAGCCCTGCATGTGCCCCCAAGCTCCCTTTTTCAACCTCCCAAACCACTTCTGTTGCCAGCTGCTAAATACCAACATAGTTTCCTGCCGCTTTGAGCTGGGAAACTTGAAAACACTGTCGCGTGAGCCCTAGAATGGGTTTGATCCAGTTAAAATAAACTAAGAAAATTTCTCCAAACTCAAAGATGTCATCCTTTAAAATCCCACCCCATGCCCACTCAACCTCGGCACTACCTGTAGCACTTTTCAGACAGCCCCCCCTCCAAGTTAGTCATACCCACTCCAAGCCATCAAGAGACTGCCCACTTCTGCCACTGAGAGCCATTTCTGCCCCTCTCTCATAATGTGGAAGCTGGTGTAGTCCCGTGAAGTTGCCCGGCTGGAGAAGTTCAGAAATGGAGTTGAAAGGGGGTTGTGGAGACCATCAAGCCCATCCCCCTGCTCCGAGTGGGAATCCAAATTAAAGTACCCCTGAGAAATGTCCGTTTGGCCTCTGCTTGAAAACACCCAGCACACAGGAGTCATGACCTTTCTGTATAATTGGCTCTTGTACTGTCGAATGCTCTTCCTGTTAGGAAGTTTTTTGCTAAGCATGTTCCAAATCAGCCTTCCTGTAACGTCAGCCCATTATTTGGTGCCCTGAACTCTGAGATGAGAGCTCAGGAGGTGGTAATGTCCTTCTGGGTGACACCCCTGTTTGAAGAGCGCCAACAGATTCCCCGTTCAGATTCCCTTCTCAAGGCTACCTTCTCAACCCTCCATCTGTCCTCTTAGGAATTAGTTTCCAGTCATTTAATGGTGCTTCTCTGAACCTGCCCCGGCTTGTCTTTCCATAGTATTGCATTAGGTATTGATGCAAGTTGCCCCCACAGATTTGTGAAATGGTTCTAAATGAGATCCCCCATGCTTACTTTTTTTGGAAGCAACCAATGGAATTCCAGAGAATGCTGGCATACCGTGCTCGAGTTGCGTGTGAGCATGCCAAGCCTGTTTGCTCATCCCCATTCCCTTAGAATGTCTGCTAAAGAAGTCAGGCACATTTTAGCATGTAATCCAAGTTGGGGATCCTGGCTTGTTGTGTTTTTCCAAGCCAAAATTGCCTGTCAGGTTTTATTCCCAGCTTATGAGCCTGTTATTCAGCTTGTCAACACCGATGGGTAACTGCTTCCCGTAATTTTTCTCTGGCTTTGCCTGGAGATGCAAGAAGCTGAATCTGGATATTTTTGCAGGCAAAGCAAGCACGTTTTCCTAAGGGCCGCCCTTCTCTATGTAGCAAGTCTCATTTTGCAGCTTTCAAGTTATCTGTCTAATATGAACTGACAAGCTCAGTTCACCGTAGCCAGCTTCGTCCTTACAAATCAGCCCTACTGAGCCATACTTGGCTCTTATTTTCTGTGTGTTCTTACATATTTCAGGCTCTGGTCTTGGTCAGAAGAACTGTGAGTCCCAAAAAATTCTGTAATCCCCTTTTTTCCCCCGTTGTCTAAAAATTAAAAATACCAGAATCCTTATTATTAAGGGCTTTTTTCCCTAACAATCATTTAATGATTGTTTTTCTCCGCAGTGAAGTTTGGGATGACATATGTGTGGATTTTTTAACCCTTGCTCTGTATTTTGAATTCCTGACAAACTTGTAAGCTTGGCTAATGACTGGATCAAACGTCACCTAGAAACTTAATCATTAATCCAGGAGGATCTCCCTGATACATTTCTAACACTTTAGATCAGCCTTCCCCGAGGTACACTCCAGCTCTACAGTTTCATCTCCCAGAATTCCCCAGGCTGGCTGGGGAATTCTGGGAGTTAAGATCACACACATGAAGGATATCCAGACTGAAAAATCCTGATTTAGAGAATTACCCCCCGTTGCATTGGGAGTAGGTACGGAATGTTTCCTTTGTTTTGTTCTTCATTCATTTGTTCGTTCATTCATTCATTCATTCATTCATTCATTCATTCATTCATTCATTCATTTATGGTATTTATTTATTTATTGAAGTTGGAGCAGGGCGTTTATCTCCTTGTTTTTGCTTTTCAACAGGTTCCTGCGGATGCTGGGGCACTGCCAGATTTGAGTTGGGATGAGAGCAAATCTGTGGTTACTGAAGAAGTGGTCCTTCGGAAGACTCCATCTCTTCTTGAACCGGTAGCTCCTGAGCTCCCTGATCTAAAAACATGTAAGTCATACTGCACCTCATCTTGCTTCATAAGAGCCACTTTAAAAAAAAAAAAGAGAGAGAGAGAGGGAAATGGAGCGACACCATGTTTTCTGCCCAAGAGACCTGTTTCACAGTTGCAGCCATGTACCTGTCTGGAATTCCCCTTTGTGCATGTTTAATCATTTTTATTGCAATGTTTAAAACAGAAATACAGAGAGAACAGTAGACAAAAACACATTAAAAGTTTTATGGTAATATCCAACAATTGAATTAAGAAAGAAGAGAGAAAAATAGAAAATTAAACAAATGCAGGAAAAAAACCTAAACAATTAACATACTAAATTAATACTAATCATCTAAATGAATCGCATATTTATTTAATCATGTGGTGATATATCAAATTGTGCATAAGATTGGTCTTTGTGTAAAGTATTCTGAAATCTATGGCAAAGGAAAATGCATTGTGTCCCTTTGTAGAAAAAGTAGCCTTTTCAGAAAGGAGTAAATTACACATTTCTTGAATCTAGTTTTCAATATCTGGAATAATAGTACTTTTCCAATCTCTTAATATAATTCTCTTGGCTGTTCCCCATGCCCAATATAGCCAATACTCTTTCCAAAAAGTCAGATTCCACAAGTTTGGAATTTAATTCAAAATGACGTTGACATCTTTAACTTGAAAACTTTAACGAAGACATCCACTTATGTATGTTATAATATTCTTCCAAAAAGAAACCCAAACTGGAAGATACATTAACTCATATGATTTGGTCATATCTGAAATTGCCTTTTATCGTGGGTAGTTGTCCAAAGTCCTAGCCTGAACTTTGTTTGCAGGCATTGGTGGAAGATGGGAGAAGAGAATAGAAGAGATGAGAAAGTTAAAAGGATCAGGTAGCAATCGGGTGACAAGAAAAGGAGGAAATACTACTATGAGGCAGAGAACTGTATATAACAATTTGGCCATTATATGTAAATGGAACAGACTTAATATTTCCATGGCTGAAAAAAAAAACACTGATTTGTCCAGGTACTCCAAGAGAATTCTTGGAATGCTACATTTTTCCAGTGCTTCTTCCTGGGATGGTAGAGCTGTTACATCAAGCTAAGAAAGAAAGATGTTTTGAGGTGAGTCCAAAATGTTCAGCTTGTTTTCAGAAGGATATTAGGTTGCTTGAGGAGTCAGTATCCACCTCCATGACCTCAACTCTGGCTGGGGTTTATGGGAGTTGTCATCCAGCCTACATCAAGGCTATGAGGTTGGGGCAGGGGGTTGTTATATTCTATTCTCCACCAACAATCATTCTGAACCTACTGAACACAGTCTGTTCATGCTGTGTTGAACTGCCTTCCCTTTAATTCTCAACTCAACTTTCCTATATATCCAAAATATTGGGTTGCTGAAGCTGGTACTTTCCCCTTATGCATGGATGGTGTAATTTTGATTGTGAGACATTGGTAGTGGAAGAAGAGCATAAGAAGAAAAGGAGAACCTTGTTGAATCATGTGAAAGGCCCATCTTGTCTAGCATTGCGTGCCCAACAGTGGCCAGCTTAGTGCAATCAGGAAGCTTCCGGGCATTGATAGGAGAGCAAGTGCCCAATTCTACTGTTACTTCCCAGCAGCTGGTATTTATGGGATGCTACCTATGATTCAAGGCTAGTAATCACTGACAGTCTAATCCTCCATCAAATTATCCACATTAAACCTACTGTTTTGAAATTCTGGCTACCACATCATTATGATGTGAATTATGAGACACTGCATTTAATGTGAGAACCTAAAAGGTTTCTGAAGCCTGCATCTTTAGAGGTTTAACCACCCTTGCTCCCAGCAAGTTGGAGTTGTAATCTGACAACATTGACAGACCCAAAGTTCAGATCGTTGGTGTATAGGTTGTCTGCAAGGAATGAAATGTCTCTGTTGAAAAGAGACCAGATCTCCTGGTATGAGCCAGATTTCAAAGAAGGAACCTCACAGTCCTACTCTGTATTAGCAACAATATATCTTATGTCTTAAAGATTAGCATATTATCCATAAAAGTACAAAGTGTCATGAAGTGGGCTATATTTCATGAAAACGTCTGTTGTGATCAGTTGTCTGGGCTGGCACATCAAGCAAAGCTTTTATTTGTCTCAGCCACGGGTTATTAACTAAATCCCAATTTGCTGAAGCCAGACAACTCACTAAACTATAAAGTGTAGTTCACGGTGGCCAGATTTCCACAGCTCAACAAAGCTAACTGCAGTATCGCCTGGTTCAGCCTAACCTAATGTGTTGCCCAAGAAATGTTGGTTTCCACTCTTAGACGCAGAATGCTGGACCGGATGCACAAAGCAACATGGATGGTTTTGCAGGTCTGGAATGGAGGGATCAGGAGCATTGGTTCCAGTACCTCAACACAAAACTCTATAGAGGTTTCCGTACCTTAGCATGTGTAGTATAGTTTGACTATTAATTTGAAAGATGTAGGCCTACCATTTCAGTCTTTTGTAACCGACATAAACAGCTGTAGCCTTCTTCCTAGCATCCCATTAGTGGGTTGAAATGCTGCTTCCCTGCAGATTTAATGACGGCTTTTAGGGAAGCTCACCTTATTAAGCCTTCATTTCTATTGTATTTCTTTGTTGTTTTCTGACTGGCTTATTGTAGTTAAGATGCAGCTATTAACGGTAGGTTAATCGCCAACCCCCTTTTTAAAAACAACAGCAACTTTCTTTTAAACCAATATAAGCGGGATGTTTGGTTTGCACTTCGTCTGTGAGATAGATGCTTTTCAAAAAGACAGATGCACGTTTGAGGAGGGCTGAGCAAATGGCAATGTGTGTTTTACAAAATGGATTTTTATTGTATTAACACAAATTGAGTCTTTATGATATGTGACTGATGAACTACGGCAAATCAGAGTCAGCAATACCAGATTGGATGGTGTGATACAATTACCTCCATTCCCTTCTGATAAGGGACCTGCAAATTGTCATAATCCTTAGCCAGCAGAAGGCTGGCAGTGGATGATGGGATTTGAAGTCCTATGCAGCCGGAAGCCACCCAGTTGGGGAAGGCAGCTCTCAAGGGTAAGAGAATAGCAAGTCTGCCACTTCTAAGACACCTTGGGCTAAATATTTTGAGGCTAAAATTATAGTTTGCAGACTAAAGAAAACAAATTGGTCTTCGTGTGTGTGTGTGTGTGTCTGTCAGAGAGAGAGAGAGGTTGTGTGTTTTATTAGAAGTTGTGTTTTTTATATATATATAAAAAATAAAGCAAGCAGGGTGGCTAAATTATTTTATGCACTGTATTGTGTTCCAGAGTGTAAAAACAAACACAGTCAAGAATGGGGAATAATTCTTATTGTGAAAAATAACATGCAACCCATCTGCTGGTGAACAATGCACATTGTTATGGAGGTTTCCTGTGCATATCCGGGTTTGCTTAACCCAACACAGCTGTGGGAAAAACTGGCCTTTTTGCTTTCTTTAAAGACAATCAAGCCTGAATAATAAATAGGGCTGTTAATGATTTTGATGGCTTTGCAGGGGCCTCATCGTTCCAAGAGAGCAATCAGTTTGATAGAGTATTGAATTTAGATTTGGAAGAGGACGGGCTAAACTCCCCATGGAAGTCAGTAGGCGTAAATGTCTGTTGGGATGGCTTTTTTTTTTTCATGGAGGACTTGCCTTTTTATTGAAACTGAACACAAACAGGACTTGGGGAACTTGAATATTCATTCTCTGTATTTCCGAAGTTCAGAGATGGGTACCCCAGTTTTCCTAGCCAAAAGACCACCATCCAGGTACAAGGAGGATTCTCCCAGTGCCCCCATCATGTGACAGCAGGACCTGCTCTGTTGGCTTGACTGAGATGCTAACTTTTTCTTCTCCCTATACTGTGTCTGTTCAAGGTAGTCAGAAGAGTGCAGCTTTTGAAAACTGCAACCGGATTGTGCTCACTTCCCATTTACATCTTTTAGATCGGTGTTTCTCAACCTTGGCAGCATTAAGATGGGTGGACTTCAACTCAACATGCTGGCTGGGGGATTCTGGGAGTTGAAGTCCACCCATCTTAAAGTTGCCAAGGTTGAGAAACACCATTTTAGAAGATAAGCACGTTGCTCTGGGAATCTGTTTTGCAAAGCCAGCCCAGCCATTAGGCAGAAAGACAATTGACTCAAGCAACAAGGGCCAAGAGGCTGGGGATAATAGCAGCATGTTGGAAAACCAGACTGGGTGTTCCTGCACTCCTGAATACGTTGACTTAAGGCATCCATACCTATGACAAATGGCGATGACATCAAAGAATGCAGTGATGTATTTGTACAATCGCCATAATTATGTACTTGCATCTGAAGCAATTACTGTACATAAGTATACGTTGACTTAAGGCATCCATACCTATGACAAATGGCGATGACATCAAAGAATGCAGTGATGTATTTGTACAATTGCCATAATTATGTACTTGCATCTGAAGCAATTACTGTACATAAGTATCACCATTCGCATGATAGCATTATCACACACGTGTGGTCCTATCCTCGCCATCCCATGGTTGCCCACAGTCGAAGGCTTGCTGAACAGGGCTGTTTCCTTGTCAAATTG